TTTTAATATTCCATAAAAAAAAAAAAATAATTGACCACAAGTTGTAGAGCTAGGGAGAGGGTGTCAGAGTCCAGGGTTGGATTCTCTTTCCTTGTTGGGGCAAGTTGTAGAGCTAGGGAGAGGGTGTCAGAGTCCAGGGTTGGATTCTCTTTCCTTGTTGGGGCAAGTTGTAGAGCTAGGGAGAGGGTGTCAGAGTCCAGGGTTGGATTCTCTTTCCTTGTTGGGGCAAGTTGTAGAGCTAGGGAGAGGGTGTCAGAGTCCAGGGTTGGATTCTCTTTCCTTGTTGGGGCAAGTTGTAGAGCTAGGGAGAGGGTGTCAGAGTCCAGGGTTGGATTCTCTTTCCTTGTTGGGGCAAGTTGTAGAGCTAGGGAGAGGGTGTCAGAGTCCAGGGTTGGATTCTCTTTCCTTGCGTTGGAGCCTCCCAGTTGCCTCATTGATCCTAAAAGACTTGGAATACTTGGTGTTGCCATGCCAAGCAGTCGGATGCCTTTTTATATATCCAGACAAAGGTGTTTGAGTGTATATGGTGGGCATATTGGATTCCTAACATACACTACATGTGTTTATACAGCTATGCATTTCATATATGGGAGACCTTAGAGATATGTAAAAACAAGGTTGTGCTTTGTTATACCTCGGGTATGGGGTATCTCAAAAACGAAATCCATTTTTGAGGATTGGCCACTAGTCTAATTAGTTGAAAACCACTTCACACTCATGCTATATGTATGGCTTTATGCATTTGCATGATCATGATTACTGTACATTTCATGAAGACTACAGCATCAGTGTAGCAACACTAGCTAGCGTGCTCAGTCCCCTCCAGTACTCCTTGTTCACCCATGACTGTGTGGCCACGCACGTCTCCAACTCAATCATCAAGTTTGCTGACGACACAACAGTGGTAGGCCTGATTACCAAAAACTATGAGACAGCCTACAGGGAGGTGAGAGCCCTGTAAGTGCTGTTATTGTGATGTGGAAACGTCTAGGAGCAACAACGGCTCAGCCGCAAAGTGGTAGGCCACACAAGCTCACAGAACAGGACCGCCGAGTGCTGAAGCGCGTAACGCGTAAAAATACTCTGTCCTCGGTTGCAACACTCACTGCCGAGTTCCAAACTGCCTCTGGAAGCAACATCAGCACAATAACTGTTCGTCGGGAGCTTCATGAAAGGAGTTTCCATGGCCGAGCAGCCGCACACAAGCCTAAGAACACCATGCGCAATGCCAAGCGTTGGCTGTAGTGGTGTAAAGCTCGCCACCATTGGACGCTGGAGCAGTGGAAACGCATTCTCTGGAGTGATGAATCACGCTTTACCATCTGGCAGTCCGACGTACGGATCTGGGTTTGGGGGATGCCAGGAGAACGCTACCTGCCCCAATGCATAGTGTCAACTGTAAAGTTTGGTGAAGGAGGAATAATGTCTGGGGCTGTTTTTCATGGTTCGTGCTAGGCCCCTGCACAGAGCCCTGACCTCAACCCCATTGAACACCTTTGGGATAAATTGGAACGCCGACTGCGAGCCAGGCATAATCGCCCAACATCAGTGCCCGACCTCATTAATGCTCTTGTGGCTGAATGGAAGCAAGTCCCTGCAGCAATGTTCCAACATATTGTGGAAAGCCTTCCCAGAAGAGTGGAGGCTGTTATAGCAGCAAAGAGGGGACCAACTCCATATTAATTTCCATGATTTTGTTGGAATGTTCGATGAGCAGGTGTCCACATACTTTTGGTCATGTAGTGTATCTTCACCTTTCTTTCCCAATTTGCACCACTGTGATTTATCATAGTTTGTCATTGAAAAAGCTACGTTTTGGCTTGTTCTATGTTGTCGACAGATGTTAACTGTATATCTCTTGTTAAATATTTAACAAGTGACCTATCTATATTCCATGTGATTGATATTCCTATATGTAAAACCAATAAACTGTTGTGGAAGAATCACATTTCAAGGGTTAAGAAGTTTCAATACATGAGTAAGCACACAAACAGCATTAACCTCTATGGGATCGGTGTCCCGTATACGGGACGGTTGCGCTAAGGTGCGCTAATGTGATTAGCATGACTGTTGTAAGTAACAGGAAACTTTCCAGGACATAGACATGTCTTATATGAGCAGAAAGCTTAAATTATTGTTAATCTAACTGCACTGTCCAATTTACAGTAGCTATTACAGTGAAAAAATACCATGCTATTGTTTGAGGTGCGTGCACAAAAACAAAAACCTTATCACAGCAACTGGTTTGATACATTCACCTCTGAAGGTACTTATATTCAGTAATCTTGCTCTGATTTGTCATCCTGAGGGTCCCAGAGATAAAACATAGCATTGTTTTGTTTGATAAAATCAATTTTTATATTCAAATGTAGGAACTGGGTTCTACAGTTTGAACCCTTGCTGTCTCTGGCTCCACACCCACCCCGCTGACCATCTACATGTGTGAAAGTTAGTGTATAAGCTAATGATCAATCATGTATGACATTCCTGGGAGTGTGTAAACTTACATTTTGTATTACCATATCATTTTTGTATGTTCTCTATAGTTATGTACTTGAAAATGTATCAATTGACCAATTCGGCACATTTGGGCAGACTTGATACAAAATAGTCCAGCATTGCAATGCTTCACTGCATCAATCTGAAACTTTGCACACACGCTGCTAAATTGCGCCTAAACTGCAATATTATATTGTGGCCTTTCTCTTGCATTTCAAAGATGTTGGAACAAAACAAAAAAATAGAAAACGTTTTTTTGTTTGTATTCTCTTACATTAATTTCACATTTCCACAAACTTCAAAGTGTTTCCTTTCAAAGGGTATCAAGAATATGCATATCCTTGCTTCAGGTCCTGAGCTACAGGCAGTTAGATTTGGGTATGTCATTTTAGGAAAAAATTGAAGAAAAGGGTCCGATCCTTAAGAGGTTAGCTTATTGTAAAAATACTTTTATTACATTCTTAAATCCACATATTGTATCCCCATTGTACAACAAAAACTCTTAAATGTGTCATATTAATAACATATTTTAGATTATATCTTATTCAAATCTATATTGATTTCAATAATAATCTTATAATAGAATGAAAACATGATAAACAGAAGGATCATGACAAAAGAGTAACTTTAAGGGAGATATTCTTAAAAACATTCTTACATTGTTTTGTATTACAACTGTCCAAGACAAAAAGGAGGACAGTAAACTGATGACAAAAAAATTGACAGCTAACTATAGAAATGAAGAAACAAAAGATCACGACAAAAACAACACAGGATTCAAAGATTAAAATCTATCTTTCAATTTCATTACATTTTAGATCCTATTTCTTCTACAATTCAGGCTCAAAAGTCCTGTAATAATATTGATATTAGACAGGGGTAAATCTTTGATACTTCTGTGATCAACATTCACAAGAACATGTACTGTACACAGTGATCAAGGTTTTAAGGTCTTCTATTCGGTGCACAGTGTCTGACTTGGCTAACTGATGAAGACTCTGTAGGACAGAGAGCCCAGCTATCTCCCTGAGTGACTGAGTGGAAATGTAACTGCACACCTTGAGAACTGCCTCTAAAGACAGAAAAAGCTGTTTTAGGTCTGCAAATTACACTTTATGAATACCGAACAATGTAAGTTCTTAGAAAGCATTTACACTTCTCCCCTGCCTTACGAACTATAAACTCAAGTCAGTTAATATTAGTTCTGTGTCAAAGTAGGGTGTCGTTACGTTGAGAGAACTTGAAACCTCTTGTGCTGTACTTTTAAGGGTCACTGGCAGGAGTGCTTATGGAGTCTACTAAGCCATCTACCAGGACTGTTTCGGCCCTCCTAACTGAAATCGGGAAAGACATTATAGCACAGTCCCATTATGACACTGTTGTAAGCACCCATAAAAGTGTATCTCCATAAATACCAACTATATCATATATACAGTTTGGAGAAGAGCACTGTTCCAGCAGTGCAAGGTGAAAAATATGATTATATTTGGACAGAAAATATCCAAGGCCTGAAAGTGATTGTCTCTTCTTGTGGTAAAAGTTTTCAAAGTATTCCACTCTGACCAAACTGTTCACACAGCAGCTTGTCTATGTACAAGCTTTGTACTGTGAGCGGTGAAAGTTTTTTGAAATCCAAAAAGCCCCTTCAAGAATTGTTAAAAAGTAACATCCTGCCACACCCGATGTCCCTCTCCGAAGAGAGAGATGTTAATCTAACTATGACTTCCCGGTAGAGATTAATAAAAAAGCTGCTCTCTCATTGAAGACAGAGAGACAGATTTAGTGTTCTAAAATAAACAGTGTGGGAAAATATATCTGCATAAAATACATATTTTTGTATGTATATCATTGTCCTTCAAATTGCATTGCAAATTATGAAATCTCATATACTCTATAATCTAAATGTAGAAATCTCTAACTCAGGGGGGTAGCTGATGGCTCTGTCAACCCTTTGTTGTGCCATACAGGTATACTCTCTTAATTTGACCAGTTTCTCACAGCAGGAAAATATCCTGCAGCAACAGGAAATGTGAATTATGTGGGTTATAATTAATGGACATTTTTGTAGGGGTTGAAATTTGAATTTTAAAGTGGAAATTACAAACTTTAGAATCTTTTTTAAACCTTGAATACACGACAATTTGCATTTACTGCTGTGCAGTAAAATTCTAATCGACAACAGTGATCAAATTAAGAGATCACATCTGTAAGTGTTTGGGCGAGGGTGAGGTAGAAGGGGTGAGGGTTAGGGTGAGAGGGCATCATTAACAAATCAGCACACATTCAGTTCAGTCTGAAACAGTTGACTGCCTGAACACACAGGGAGGGCTTGAGTCCCTACCTTCTCCCTGCTGGTCAAACGTCAAACCCCAAACCCCCCTTCCCCATTGTGGTTGGTGCCTATGTGGGAGCACAGGAAAATCTGTTTGCCACCTGTTTGTTTTCTTCTTATCATCTGCTTCCTTTCTCTGCTCAACAAAGTCTTGTATTGGACCCACAGATCCCACTTCTGTCAGATTCAGGAGGACAATCGGCAGTCTTTGAGTTGGAACCCTGAGGCTCTTGGTAGCACGAGAAAAGGGTCTAGATCGGGTGGAGGGCTCTTAGATGGTAAATGCTATTAATCTAATAATTTTTCATCCCAGTTCCCCAGAATATGGTCAGGCAGTCTTTGACTGACAGGTGAACATTCATCACACTGTCCAGGAGAATCTATTTATTTATTTGTCTTTATTTAATTGCATTTATTTAACCAGGTAAGTGTATATTTATATATATATATATATATATATATATATATATATATATATATATATATATATATATACACTACCGGTCAAAAGTTTTATTCAAGGGTTTTTCTTTATTTGTACTATTTTCTACATTGTAGAATAATAGTGAAGACATCAAAACTATGAAATAACACATATGGAATCATGTAGTAACCAAAAAAGTGTTAAACAAATCAAAATATATTTGAGATTTGAGATTCTTCAAATAGCCATCCTTTGCCTTGATGACAGCTTTGCACACTCTTGGCATTCTCTCAACCAGCTTCACCTGGAATGCTTTTCCAACAGTCTTGAAGGAGTTCCCACATATGCTGAGCACTTGTTGGCTGCTTTTCCTTCACTCTGCGGTCTGATTCATCCCAAACCATCTCAATTTGGTTGAAGTCGGGAGATTGTGGAGGCCAGGTCATCTGATGCAGCACTCCATCACTCTCTTTCTTGGTAAAATAGCCCTTACACAGCCTGGAGGTGTGTTGGGTCATTGTACTATTGAAAAACAAATGATAGTCCCACTAAGCCCAAACCAGATGGGATGGCGTATCGCTGCAGAATGCTATGGTAGCCATGCTGGTTAAGTGTGCCTTGAATTCTAAATACATCACAGACTGTGTCACCAGCAAAGCACTCCCACAACATAACACCTCCTCCTCCATGCTTTACGGTGGGAAATACACATGCGGAGATCATCCGTTCACCCTCACCGCGTCTCACAAAGACATAGCGGTTGGAACCAAAAATCTCAAATTTGGACTCCAGACCAAAGGACACAATTCCACCGGTCTAATGTCCATTGCTCGTGTTTCTTGACCCAAGCAAGTCTCTTCTTATTATTGGTGTCCTTTAGTAGTGGTTTCTTTGCAGCAATTCGACCACGAAGGCCTGATTCACACATTCCCCTCTGAACAGTTGATGTTGAGATGTATCTGTTACTTGAACTCTGTGATGCATTTATTTGGGCTGCAATTTCTGAGGCTGGTAACTCTAATGAACTTATCCTCTGCAGCAGAGGTAACTCTGGGTCTTCCATTCCTGTGGCGGTCCTCATGAGAGCCAGTTTCATCATAGCGCTTGATGGTTTTTGCGATTGCACTTTAAGAAACTTTCAAAGTTCTTGACATTTTCCGTATTGACTGACCTTCATGTCTTAAAGTAGTGATGGACTGTTGTTTCTATTTGCTTATTTGAGCTGTTCTTGCCATAATATGGACTTGGTCTTTTACCAAATAGGGCTATCTTCTGTATACCCCAACTACCTTGTCAAAACACAACTGATTGGCTCAAACGCATTAAGAAGGAAAGAAATTCCACAAATTAACTTTTAAGAAGGCACACCTGTTAATTGAAATGCATTCCAGCTGACTTCCTCATGAAGCTGGTTGAGAGAATGCCAAGAGTGTGCAAAGCTGTCATCAAGGGTGGCTATTTGAAGAATCACAAATCTCAAATATATTTTGATTTGTTTAACACTTTTTTGGTTACTACATGATTCCATATGTGTTATTTCATAGTTTTGATGTCTTCACTATTATTATAAATAGTAAAAATAAAGACAAATCCTTGAATGAGTAGGTGTTCTAAAACTTTTCACCAGTAGTATATATATATACTGTATATAAATCCCTGTCAAATTTTATTTTACATCTGTAAATATAAGTGTATAAGGAACATTTAAAAATACTTTAAAAATACTTCTGTGATTCTCTCTTTCTCTCTCTAAGTGGCATTTGCAAGGGGAAAAGGTAGTGGGACCGAGGTCTTTGATTGCATTTTTAGAAATAAAGTCAAGAGCTCAAAAATATCAGTGTCTGAATGTGTGCTTGTAAAAATACATATTTAGGTCAGCATAAGTGCTTTGTCTTAGTATTGTTTGTGCAAGTCTGCATGCATGGTAATAGACACCCTGGGTCTCTTTGTCCATGTCTTGCATGCAAAACAAACCTGCCCGCCTATCTGTTTGATCTTGGTCCCTTTAAACAGTTTGTTCATAGGATACAAAACTGCAAAGTATGGGCACTACCAAATAAGAAACTAAAATTGAGCTGTAGAACTGCAATAAAAAAATTAAAAAAGATCTACACAGCAACTCCTCCATGGGGCAGGATAGTACAGTACAGTGAGGGAAAAAAGTATTTGATCCCCCACTGACAAAGACATGATCAGTCTATAATTTTAATGGTAGGTTTATTTGACAGTGAGAGACAGAATAACAACAACAAAATCCAGAAAAACGCATGTCAAAAATGTTATAAATTGATTTGCATTTTAATGAGGGAAATAAGTATTTGACCCCCTCTCAATCAGAACGTTTTCTGGCTCCCAGGTGTCTTTTATACAGGTAACGAGCTGAGATTAGGAGCACACTCTTAAAGGGAGTGCTCCTAATCTCAGTTTGTTACCTGTATAAAAGACACCTGTCCACAGAAGCAATCAATCAATCAGATTCCAAACTCTCCACAATGGCCAAGACCAAAGAGCTCTCCAAGGATGTCAGGGACAAGATTGTAGACCTACACAAGGCTGGAATGGGCTACAAGACCATCACCAAGCAGCTTGGTGAGAAGCATGACAATGACCCAAAACACACGGCCAAGGCAACAAAGGAGTGGCTCAAGAAGAAGCACATTAAGGTCCTGGAGTGGCCTAGCCAGTCTCCAGACCTTAATCCCATAGAAAATCTGTGGAGGGAGCTGAAGGTTCGAGCTGCCAAACGTCAGCCTCGAAACCTTAATGACTTGGAGAAGATCTGCAAAGAAGAGTGGGACAAAATCCCTCCTGAGATGTGTGCAAACCTGGTGGCCAACTACAAGAAACATCTGACCTCTGTGATTGCCAACAAGGGTTTTGCCACCAAGTACTAAGTCATGTTTTGCAGAGGGGTCAAATACTTATTTCCCTCATTAAAATGCAAATCAATTTATAACATTTTTGACATGCATTTTTCTGGATTTTGTTGTTGTTATTCTGTCTCTCACTGTTCAAATAAACCTAACATTAAAATTATAGACTGATCATGTCTTTGTCGGTGGGCAAACGTACAAAATCAGCAGGGGATCAAATACTTTTTTCCCTCACTGTATATAGTACATTCTGTCTCAAGCCTAGGGCTGTGCTGCATGTCTGTGGGGTACATTCAAAGAAGTCATCCTCGTTTTACAGAGGACTTTAGCTTAAGGGAGATCTCAAGCTCCTTTTGAAAAACCATCTGAGAATGCGAAATTACATTCTCAGAACCGTTTTAGTCAACAACAAAAATAAGTAGCATGCGCATAGTACCCAGCACCTAGTGTTGAATTTTGTAGCCTGGACTGGCTTACAGTCCAAGCGACTCCATAGAGTGGAGTTCTGAGGTGAGAGTAGTGTGTCCTAAAGTGTAGCGTGCAAGATTTTCACTGATCTGCTGGTTGCTTCGCTGTTGCCACGTTCCTCTCCCTCTCTACCTCTCCTTCCCTACATCTTTCTGTCTCTATATGAATCACTTTCATATCTGAACAGATTTTTAGCCCATTGTGGAGTCTGGGAAGGTGATTTCACTGCTGAACACCTCACGGTACAGAGGGGGGAAATTGTATGTCGTCTCCGGGTGGAGGAGACGGAAAAACTTGAGCTTGTCAATGTGGAGATTGCAGATGGACTTCATCATGGGAAGCTTGGACACCATCTTAGAGGTAGAAGAAGAGAGAGAGAGAGCGAGACAAGGAAAAAGAGAGATAGAACATTTATATTTTTCACATTTCACCCCAAATCCATGAACAAAGGCCCGTTTTAGGAATAAAGGAATATGTCATCCTCTGCCAATATGTACCTTTGCCAGTTTCTCCTCTGATGAGCCACATCTGTGTAGACAATGCTGCAGAGAGAGATATACTTTCTCTTGAAGCTTCTGCACCTGTTGGGTGTCTTTCAACCATGGTCGGTCTGGAGGAAAAAGAGAGCGACAACCACAGTTAGACTCTGCTGGTTTTCCTTCTTACATATTACTTAGTGTCTGATTTAGACCTGGGACATCATACCAGTCAACGGGAGACAGTGTGAGAGGATTACCTGGTGACAGGAGAACAGCAGCACTGAAGAGAGCCATTTCCTCTTCAGAGAGCTGCATACGGTTCAGGCTCTTGGCCAGGTCAAACACGGCAGCCACAAGGTCATCACAACCTGTGAGAAAGCAGGGGGAAAAACAGGTGTCATCAAAACAGAAACGCCTGACTTTTTTTAAACGGAAGCTATTGAAAGGTTGACCTAGAATTGTTCAACTATGTTGGTGTGTGAATAAATTCTGATGGAATATTAATGATTTGGTTTCATAAAGAAGGGACTCACCAAGAGCTTTGAAGGTCTGTGCGCTGGCAAACTTGCCATCAAACAGAACAGTGTTGTTGATGGGGTTGTAGGCGCGACACATGCGAATCAGAAGCACATCCAGACATCCTGAAGCGGAGACCGCAAAGATGGAGAGGGAGAGATGAAGAGGGAAAGGAAGAAAAAGGATGAGCCAACATGCACACACAAACAACATGAAATAAAACATTAATTCCATGTTGTCAGTCAATAAAATAAGTATATTTCCTATCATAACATCAAATCTATTTCAATAAATTATAAATAAAATCATTTTTTTTAAACATTTGTTTTACAATTCAAACAATGATGATAAACAAACAGCACATAATTTTAAAAAAACATAAAGAAGAGCCATCGTTAGAATAATAACTTTTCTTCTTCGATATCGTTGGAAACGGAATGTGGCCTTTGTGTCATATGTTGTTAATTTATGTAGCAACCTCCAGGTTTATGCAAAATGTAGTGACCCTATATGCAAAATGTGACAAATACAGTATATGGTGTGCACAAATTAGATTAAATTGTTTGTATATGTTAAAATGTAGTCCAAGTGCTGGAGTTTGTTTTTCTAACTGTAGACACACGTTTGTCAAATATACTATTGTGTATTAATGTTGTAGTACTATACTACAACATTAAGTACTGAGACATGTACACTACCAGTCAAAAGTTTGGACACACCTACTCATTCAAGGGTTTTTCTTTATTTTTACTATTTTCTACATTGTAGAATAATAGTGAAGACATCAAAACTATGAAATAACACATATGGAATCATGTAGTAACCAAAAAAGTGTTAAACAAATCAAAATATTTTTGAGATTCTTCAAATAGCCACCCTTTGCCTTTGACAGCTTTGCACACTCTTGGCATTCGCTCAACCAGCTTCATGAGGTAGTCACCTGGAATGCATTTCAATAAAAGTTAATTTGTGGAATTTCTTTCCTTCTTAATGCGTTTGGACCAATCAGTTGTGTTGTGACAATAGGGGGTATACAGAAGATAGCCCTATTTGGTAAAAGACCAAGTCCATTTTATGGCAAGAACAGCTCAAATAAGCAAAGAGAAACGACAGTCCATCATTGCTTTAAGACATGAAGGTCAGTCAATATAGAAAATGTCAAGAACTTTGAAAGTTTCTTCAAGTGCAGTCGCAAAAACCATCAAGCGCTATGATGAAACTGGCTCTCATGAGGACCGCCACAGGAATGGAAGACCCAGAGTTACAATGACCCAACACACCTCCAGGCTGTGTAAGGGCTATTTTACCAAGAAAGAGAGTGATGGAGTGCTGCATCAGATGACCTGGCCTCCACAATCCCCCGACCTCAACCCAATTGAGATGGTTTGGGATGAGTCGGACCGCAGAGTGAAGGCAAAGCAGCCAACAAGTGCTCAGCATATGTGGGAACTCCTTCAAGACTATTGGAAAAGCATTCCAGGTGAAGCTGGTTGAGAGAATGCCAAGAGTGTGCAAAGCTGTCATCAAGGCAAAGGGTGGCTATTTGAAGAATCTCAAATATAAAATATATTTTGATTTGTTTAACACTTTTTTGGTTACTACATGATTCCATATGTGTTATTTCATAGTTTTGATGTATTCACTATTATTCTACGATGTAAACAAACAAATTTTTTTTTGGGTAAATGTACTGTAAATGTAGTAAATGCATACACGCTCAGGTTGTGTGAACAGGAACTGTGCTTTAAGCTCAGAGAAAGCTGTTATATGAGGTCATGAAATAGAGTTATGAAATGCACTCCTCCTATGTACTAACAGTAGGTACTGACCTGCTTTGAGAAGAATGATCTGGTCGTTCTGACACAGATCAAGGAATCCAGTGATGCGCTTGGCAAACTCCACCACATACTGGATGGCATTGGTGAGGTGGATGGCACAATGCTGCCACATGACTTCCGCAGACTGAAAGAGAGACCAGAGGGATGCCCATGTTAGATATGACATTGGGAATAGCACATAGTAGTGTAAGAGTATATAGGTCAGCGGTCACAGAGTACTAGGTCACTGAGTTAATCCTGGTACAGGACATTGATGTTTACCTTGCTCTGGAAGCTGCGTGTCTCCTCAGGGGTGTACAGGGACCAGAAAAGTCTCTTCAGCTCCTCACTGCCGTACTGACTGGTCTCTATGTGAGACTTTACCACACTAGCAGTTATACGCTCTGGAAATTGACAAGTCAAGTATGGGTTAGCTTTCAACCACACTCAATGAAAAATGATCTAGTGATAGTTTTAGTGACACACAGCAGATAATGATAAGAGTGACAGTTCCACTTACCGATCTCAAGTATTGAGAACCCCTCCGGTAGAGTGTTGAGCAGCGTGTGCGTGAATAGGCTGGACTCGTGCAGCAGCTGGTACTCGTGCTTGATGTGGTGGTTGCCATCTCTGAAGTCTAGTCCGTTCTGTTCGGGCGAGCTCTGAGAGGACGAGCTGCTGCCCCCCATCATCTCCAGATTGCAGTACTCTCTTTCGCCGCCCTCTGGTGTCAGGGGCAGGTCGAACAGCAGGCCGTCCGGCAGGGTGGCGATGTCGTCAAGGTCGCTGAGGGCGGCACTGGAGCCTCTGCTGTATGCCCGGCCATGACCTTCAACCTCGGCTCCCTCCTTGCGGGCGGCAGCTAACTCCTGGGATGCCTGGTGTTTCTGGACCTCAGCATACAGGCTGTCTCTCTGCTTTTTGGACATGCGGCCAAACTTCACCGCTGTATCAGCAAAGGAGATAAAGAGTCAGTCAATAACCAGGGAATGAATTATGAGCTCATAAGTCCATATGGAGCCAATATAGAACTAAATATAGAATTGAATTCCATACTCTGGCATGATTCCAGCAGTGATTTCACACAGTATAAATGAACTCTACACATGGCCTTTCAATAAGACCCAGAGAGCCCTAGCGTCCGGTGAAGAGACAGACAGACAGTGGTCGCCTCTGGACTGACCTTGTTGTGTTTGTGTGTTTCACACTCACCATCACGGCTCATGCCCAGGGCCAGGCACTTCTGCAGCCGGCAGTGTTGGCAGCGATTCCGATTGGTGCGGTCAATCAGACAGTTCCTCTGCCGGGAGCAGGAGTACATAGCATTGTTCTGCTGGCTGCGTCTGAAGAAACCCTACAAACACACAAGCACAAACACCATGAACACAGGCACAGAAGCAGGGAGGGCTGAAGTACTGGGCAATGGCATACAATATATAAATAGTCTATATTGATTGAATTTGCTGAGGGTATTCTTGAGGGATGCTAAACCAAAATAGAACACTCGAGTGGAGTAAACAGATCTCGAAGGCACGCCGAGGTTGAGGTTGCTCACCTTGCAGCCTTCACAGGTGATTACGCCATAGTGGATCCCTGATGACTTGTCCCCACAGATCTTGCAGGGTATTACTTCAATTTGTGCTGGAAGGAGAGAGGAGGAACATTTAGTACATTGCATACTTAACACATTTTAACATGTGAGGTGGATTTGCATGCTGGTGCTTCATACAAGTTGTTCAATAGCTGTGTTCAGACTGAAAGCACTGATTGTGCTTTAAAAGTGACTAGACTAGATAATAAAACATTGATTGATGGCGTCTTGGGTTGGGTTTATTAATCTCTAGTATGACATGGTTCAATCGTCTGGTGATAAGGAGTCTCATGATCTGTGCCAGAACTGTGTGAGAAAGTGCACGACAGGTGGAGATATGAGGAACATCCCCATAAACCCTATCAAATAAGAAGGAATAGCCACATTTCAATCTGTTTCATCTTTATTACCAACTGCCCTGATTTTGAACCAAACAGAAACACTATCAAAAGCAAAAGCCAATCTGCAACAATTTGCAGATAAAATATATCCACCCCAGCAATAAAACTATAAAATGTAATATAACATGTATTCATATAAAATATTGTTTAAATGTCAACTCGTAGGATGAAAGAAATTAGAACAATGCATCCTGCCAAAATCTACAAATGGAACACATAGACTACACCTTTAACAGTGTGTGCACAGCCCTGAGCCCTCTCTCCCTGAAACAGGCTGTTCTTTTCATTATGCTGTTTATCTAAGTGGCAGGGCCTCCTATGGCCCAGAATAACTGGCAC